TGGTGTTCCGTACATAACAGGAGCCTTGGAGATAGTTATTAATTTTGTTTGACTGCTGAATGAATTCCCATCAGCCTTGTTATATCTACATGCATCTATAGTCTCCTTAAATTTGGAATAGCTTCTTTTTGTACTTTCCTGCAGTGGCGTGAATTTGCAATTTTACATAAATGATGAGTGACTTCAGTTTCATTATCCTGAAAACTTTGTATAATACCTAATGTCATCATCTTATTATATTAAAAGAAGATGTGTTAACAGCTGCAGAAAGCACAGTCCAGGTATGTAGCAGTGCTCTTCACCCATTGTGCTTATTTTGCAGTTTGTTTTTGTTTCAGCTGCCACCTCTTCAGTGACTCAGCAGCTTGAGAGCGGGTTTAGCGGAGCAGGCACTTCTTTTTGTACCCTTCTGTTATGCAAGCAGAGCAATAGCCCTCATTTTGCAGCTCCTTTGAAACAGGCATAATATAACTTAGTCATGTGGTTTATACAAAATAGACTTTGCCATCTCCTTGTCTTCCAGTGGGCTGGGCAGCAGGGCTTGACAGCAGCACTGCTGCGTGAGCGCAGGGTAAGCTATGTCTGCTCAGAGCAGGGAGAGATGTGGGTGCAACCACTGTGATGAGCTAGTTTCCTTTTTTTTTTTTTTTTTTTTTCTTTCTTTTCTTTTTAATTTTTTTTTTCTTGCATGATTCCAGGGAACACACAGCCCCCTCATTTTTTTCTAAAAGGAACAGCAGTGTGCTATAAACTTATAGATATACATACCTCATTTTTTGCTTTGTCTGAATTATCATTTTAAAATGCTTTAATTTAGGACAGCTGCTGTAAACATTAGCTTCAGATTTACCAGACTGGTGTGAAAGATCATTTCATTAATGTGTTAGCTGCTTCACTGAGACTTCACAATCCAAGTTTAACAAAACCTCTATTTTAGTGCTGGCTGATGTGGTCTGTATAAATGAGGGTTCAGGAATGCTGTGTGCATGTTACGTACTTTAAATTTTGGGGGTGGAGTTTCTTTTCAGAGGGAACATGGGTGAGGAAATTCTGTACTCCTCTTTTCTCTCCAGCTTTGCTGCAACTTCAACAATTTCTAGAATTTAGCCCTTGTATTTTTCTGCTCCCCAGACTCACCAAGGCATATAGGGGTTTTAACATGCAGGAAGATCATTGTGTGGTGGTGGAGAGTATTGGATTGCATATCGAATCAGAAATAGCCGTCACCTTTTGATATACTGTGTCATCTTATAATGACACCTTTTAAGAACACTTTCATTGAGTTTGTCAGCCAGACACTGTGATAGGACAGCCATGGGGCTGCCAAACTCATCTATGAAACAACCCTTCTCTTCCTCAAGAGTTGCAGTGTAGATTCTTTTCAGAGAGTTTCTTTCTTGCACTCAAGATAAGAGGCTGCTCTTTAGCTGTGTTACCTTAGGAACCAGCCAGATAAACATCCAATAAAATCTTGTTTTCAGGAGTTTGTTTCTGAATATCAGTACAAAATCTCTCTCTTATTTTCAGTAAGGCCATTTCTCCCCCCTGCCTTCTCCCAACATTCACTGTGCCAGACAATAGCATTTTTTTCTCAGAGAGATGGGTATGTCGGGATTTTTTTCTTTTTTTTTTTTGGTCCACACAGGAAATGCATTGCCTTCATTTTAGCCCTTAGGAGAAAGGTTTTCTTCAACATACCTTCTTAAATTTGAGATGCTATGTGATAAGATATGCAGTACTTTCTAATATATCATCATCTTGATAAACAAGCTGTGCAAAGCTTTATAGCAATGTAACTTTGGTGTCATAAGAATCTGTTTTAAAAAAAAATATAAAATCCAGCAGTTTGTTGCTTACACACCGCAACACTGGAACTGAATTTTCCTAGAGTAAAACCTTCTGTTTTAATAATAAAATTAAGAGGTTCCTGAGGTAGTCAAGTGCAGTAAATAAAAAACCCAACCTTGTAGTTCTAGAATGTTCATAATATTTAAAGCGATTAATTTTTTTCCCCTTCTTAACATGGTGAAACTATTGCTACTGAAAGATGGTGTTTGTGTTTCCGCCCCCCCCCCCCCCCGTTGGATCCTACAGCATGATCTCTTGCTCGATAAGGAGGAGCTGAAAGGGACAGGCGAATTCAGGAGCCGTGCTGCAGTGCTTTCACTACAGCTGAAATGTATTAGGGGAATTCATCAAAAAATGGGGGAGGGAGCAGCCCAGTGCTCCACGTACCTGCACTTCTGGAACGTTTTTCTGCTAGAACTGTTGGAGTGGCTCAGAATTCGTAGAAAACCTACCAGTTTTTCCATGCTTTTATATAAAGCTGCCTGGTACAGGTAGTCTTACTAGTTGATAGATCACCCTTCTTGTTGAGTCTCTGTAACGTGACACATACACATGCCATGACATGGATCTGAACATTTTATTTCATCTTCTGTTCCTTTATTTGCACACCTTTCCTCTTATTTTCGTTTTCTTCACTCTCCAAGTCTCCATGAGAAGCCATCTGGTATTTATTACAAGTATTCTTTTGAATGACCATTGCTTTCCTGGGTCGTAGGGTATCTTTTATATCTTCTCTGTTCTTGTTTTGAAATCATTAATCTTGTGTCATACATACGGGAGGTGTGTGTTGTTCTGGAGCTGATCAAGTAAGTTGCATACATTAATATGATGCATGCTTCAGTGAAATATTTAATAAATGGAAGCTTTTATTATTCACTTGTTGAAAACCAAGCAACACGCATCTAAGGTATGCACTAGAGAAGACTACTAGCTAGAATATTCTTGAATCATGATTAGTTTGCATTAGAGAGATTTTAATACACTTCTGGCAACATACTGGGAATATTGTTTTTCTATTTCCTATAGTTTTACAGGTTTCAGAAATGAGCCTGACACCAATCTTAATGTTGGAATTGATTTGAACTGAATAAATGAGAGCACAAGGAAAATATTTTTTTCTATAAATATCAGGATTGTTTTAACTATAACAGTTTAGTCTATGCAAGTAGGATACTTCTTTTTTAATTAATTTTTGAAAAACTTTTGTCTTAGGTTCACATTTTATGTTACTGAGTTAAAATTAATTCTGCACGTATACATCATGTGCAGAATGAGGGAGAAATCTACTTTCCAACAACCTGTATCCAGCTTTCCAGTACCATCATTTTTTTTTTTTATCCTCAGTATTTAGAGAGAATAATACAAATGCTGGTGTTCACTTTTTGTTTTTCTATTAATGAAGTCACTTTTAGCTGAAGGTTTTTGTTTTACCTGAGGAAATTTTTCAATGGTTAGATAAAAATGAGTGGAAGAGAACAAGTTCAAGTAAAAGTAAAACACCCAAATTACGTAGGTGTTGGTCTTCAAAGGTATCTAACTATTTAAAGATATAATTGTGTAGTGGAAGGTTCAGAAGCAGTGAAGCAGACTAGATATCCTCTTCCCAAAGTTAAGCATGAAATATGTTTCTAGCCAGCACAGTCCAGCTTTTTGTTCAGTTTACTACATACGTTTTTTTCCTTTATTTGGTAAATCTGATAGTTTCAAAAGCAGAGCATGTTTTGATAAACCCTTCTGGTTATGATTCCAGCACATTTAAGTTTCATTTTTATTAGTGGAATTAACTGTAGAATGCTGTTTTTGTACACTGTGAATTCCAGTTTTCATCCAAATGCTGCCTGACACAGATCCAAAGGAAAAACTATTGTCTTGTTAAATAAGGAATGTGCCATTCACCATTTTGTAATGTACTAAATTGAAAAATTAATAATCAAAATAAATGTCTGGTTAACTATGTAATTGCTAGATTGACTATGAGATATATTGGCTAGGAAAATCAGTTTGTAAAAGTTGAACTTGGTTGTAAACCGTGTTATGCAAACCAACAATAGTGATCTTTTCTTCTAGAAATTAAATATCCCAGAAAACAAGAAGATTAAAGTCAGCTATGTAAGTTAGGTCTCCTACTTTCTTTTATTCATTTAAAGTTATAACTGGGGTGATTGTTGATCCAATTTTTTTGCTTTTGGTCAATACACCGTGATTAGGTGTGCGTTTACACCCCCACAAAAACCTTCCTGACTGGATTCCTAGGTTTTAGTGGTACTTTGCAGATTTATGCAAAGAGGTTAATCTTGGAGTAAGATGAACTGGTAAATGCTTTATTGTGAAGTCTGTACTTATGAGTGATGATTCCTGTGCAGAAGCTGTATGATTTTAATTCTGTTTCTGCTTAGAAACTGCTTGAGGTCCAGCTCTTTGTTCCAAAGATAGGCTGACATTAAATGTTTAGACTGTTTGTTGTTTTGTCTGTGCAGTGAAAGAAAGCCTTCCAAAGAAAGTGCTTTATGTTGGATCCCTGACGTTGGGGAGGACTTTGTGTTTTTTCAATGACTAATGAAAGTTTTCACTTTGGCTGCTATTTCTTCTTCTCTTGTGGCAACTCTGTCTTCAGCCATTAATTTAATACCTATTTGAACAGCGTGTTTGTGAGGGCAGCCACTGAGGCAGTATCTATGCAGTTATGCGAATGAGACCTCGATCGGAGCCAACATCGTGATCCCAATGTTGTAATAGCTGAAGTCTCTTTTGAAGTCTTCCCAGTTGTACATGCCTTGGTACAGCACTGAGAAGGTTTTTAAATAGATTCATCAAAACTTGCAGAGGCAAAGTGGCAGCTCAAATAATAGCCTGCTATATGCAGTTTCATTGTATCTGTCTTTATTAGATAAGGAATGTGGAATTTTCTCTTTTTATTGGTTATGTCATACATCTCAGGTAATTCTTCTTACCTTAGGATGTAGGGCATGTAGTAGAAATACTTTCAAGGAGGAAATGCAGAATCATATGATGGCCGTGCCTGCAAAATCAGCTCGACATTATTACTGGGTTTGGATTTGAGGATGTGGCTCGTTATTAAGATTTAAGCATTTTGGTATGAAAAGAATTTTTTTTCACCTTGTTAATTCTGTCTTGATTATATTTCCTCTTAGTCCTGGTCAAAGCCGCCCATCGATGGTCTCATGGATGAATACTCCGTCTGCTAACGCAGTTGCTCCAAATATTGCACCATCCACTTTCTTCTTCCCTAACCCTGCCACTGGGAGTGACAGAGCAGTGGGAAGGTAAGATGTACACTTCAGCTTTTGATAGTTATTTATTTGTCTCCTTTTTTCTGTATCTTTTTAAAAATAGCTAATTCATGTCTTCTTCAGGTTGCAAATGATTATCTCAAATCAAGAAATGCAACCTTAGCAATTTTGATAGAATAAAATAACAGTCTACTTTGTCTCATTTTTCCTTTGAACACCTTCCTTGTAGAAGGCACCCATATTGAGCCAGTGGCATGTTGGTTAATACAAGTAGGCTTTGATTTGGGTGGTCAATTCATAGTGTCACTCTACTGCAGTGTTTTTTGAAATACAGATTCTTTCTTTTCCACAGCCACCCACGTCAAATTTAAGTTTCTCAACCTAGCCTTCTTGACTCTGAATGACTTTCCCATGCCTTTACTTTTCTCTGTGGTTTCATTATTTTCTTTCACTCTTTTGGCCAGCTTTCTTTCCATCCCGTTTCTGCTCCCTTCTGTGTTGTTGTCCATCTTTTTGAATTATTTTCACTTCTGCCTTTGAAGATCTTCACAATCTTAGCTTTTTCCTTCAAGTTTTATAGTATTTGCTTTCTAATTACAGTAGCTGTGTATATTCATAAATTCTTTCTAACACTTGGTAACAAAATCCCATTTCTCGTTACCAGCCGCGTTTTGCACCAGAACTGGATTGTCTGTCTGACTGCAAGTTCCTTGGGGCAGGGAGAATCTTTCCCGATATTTTATGTGTAGTTATTGTTGCCTGGGCTCAACAAAAGATGATTTAATGGTGTGGGTGCTGTGTCTGAACAAAGCATCATTGGGCAGCAGCAAACCGTCAGTTTGCAAAGGCGTGATTAAATAAGACGTGCCAAAAATACTTATATATTCCAAGATCTCTGCTTATGGTATTTGGAGAAATGAGTACTTTGGACAAATTCATATGGAAGGCTTTTTACTGGGCATTCTGAGAACACCTGTAACAGACTGCCTGAAACATTAGAAATCTAACTGCGTTTAGGACAAAACAGCATCTTCAGTTGTCTAATAATGTTGTATTGTAAACAGATATAAAAAGCGAATACTGTACAGTGATAGTGAAAAGCTGAATTGCAAGATCAATGAAGAAACATTTAAGAAGATATAATGATGATTAGTCTATAAATGAAGTATAATATGCTTTGCCTGCTATTGATTTCATTGCCGATTAACACTTGACAAAATTTTAACTGTAGTTGAAAGTTGAGTTTAACTATCATAAAAGTAAGTGTGCCTAAAGTTGGGAGTATGATATTCACAAATGCCAACAGTAAGCTGCGAAGCTTCAGCTTTGGCATTTGTATATATGAATTGCAAGCCTGTAATGATGCATGCGGGATTGTGTTTGAAGTTTTAGTCATCTCCAAACGAAAATGGAGAGAGAATGGTGGAGAAAGGAGAGTGTCTTCATAATAGTAAAAAATTACTGTCATTCATAATTTCATTTTTCAGTGTTGCCCACCGAAAAGCAAGAGCAGTTTATCCATGTGAAGCAGAACATAGCTCTGAATTATCATTTCATATAGGAGCAATTTTTGAAGATGGTAAGTACTGCTTGAGTAAATATAAAGCAATGAAAAACAAATTGACAAAACTGCTAAAATGGCTTTGGATAAAAATACAAGCCTAACTGCTATTCTGCCAACGTTGCTGATGGCACACAGTTGGTGACGTAGAAGATTTCTGGTACACGGAAGCTACTTGGCATATACTTAGCCCTGTGAGGCAATGCCTTTGATTTCTGGTGAGTAGACACTTTCAATTGGTCTAATTCTTCAGGAGCATTTAGATGTGTTGTAGTACCAAAAAAGGTTATTCAGCAATAGGGAAGAACGTCTTGGCCTATGAAACTCTGTTTTTTTAAATGTGAACTATTGTTGTAAAATAACATATGGGCTTTCATTTAAAGAAAAAAAAAAAAAAAAAAACAAAACAAAACACCAAAAAAACAAAACAAACAACAAACCTGTTTAAGGATTTTCAAGCAAGCAGAGCTCCAAGTAAATCAGGTGATCACTGAAGAGAAAAGGGAGTGTTTACTTTTTGGATCAAGTGCCACCTTAGTGTGTGCATGTGCTTGTAGAAAAAGGAATATTCACTGAGGTGCAGGATGAAGGGCTGTGTTAAAAGATTTTTATGGACCCAAATATAGTGTTCCACATGAACATCCAGAAGGTGATTTCTGTGCTCAAGACTGTGTTGCTCTGCAGTGAGCTTCCATGGCTCTACTCTTTAGCAGCTGCACAGAGATTTCAGACTGATAGGAACGGATTTAATTTTTAAACTTTATGCCAGTGACTACTGTAATACAAGCTCTGAAGATGCAGAAGTTGACATGAATGTAGTTTCTTCCTATTGCAGGGAAATTCCCATTGTAAGAAAGAGATGGTATGGAATGGCTCAACAGGGCTTGGACAAATTCAGCAATTCATGTTATTTGAATGCAGTTTAATAATAATTCTCAGCAGTAATTTATTCATAGCAGCAGCACAGTAAGACTGTTGTTTGTCACAAGACCTTGGTAAAAAATTACATTCATACTTAAAACCAGAAGTTTGGCCAAACCTTCATCCAAGTTTTGTGCAGACTGGGGGATTCAAAGTGATCTGAGAATTACATCCTGAAGAACCTTGTGAGTAGAGAGGCCAGTATTTCAGTCTTGCAGTCTGTCTAGAGACAGGGAGGTAGTAAGAGGCATACTGGCCTCTAAAGAACATGGAAAATCTGCAGTGATGCCTGGTCTATTCTCATCGGTTGTCAGCTTTTAGCTTGCTACTGGGTCGGAAATCTGATACATGTTTTCCAGAGGGAAAGTGGTGTTTAATTCTGCATGACCAAATGCACTTAGGAGACATACTGCCCGGTCATTCAAATACCACATGTGAGAATCTTTGGTTGGATGTCCAATAATGGAGGAGTATTCCGAATTCCCAGTTTACATCCAGCATGAAAAAAGGGGAAGGTACACAGTCTAAAACAGCTGGGAAATATCAACCTGCAGGCATTAAAAAGCTAACTAAATATGTCTTACATTTCCCAAAATGCACCTTGTTAACTCTCTTAGCACTGGATCAAAAGTGTGTGGGGGAAAGTTTTCCTCATAAATGAAAACCTTTTCATCCTGTCCTCCTCAGCCCCAGTAGAACGTTCCTAAATTGTTTAATGAGCTGAAACAAATGAAGCTCAGCAGAATCTTGTTGTTATACATGCTAAAAAAAATAACAAAATCACAGACACATAGGCATCTCCTTCCCCTTCTTTGTGATGCTTATTTTAAAGCAGAGCATAGGACATTCCTGTTCTCTGCCTCCTCCCAAACAAGTAAATAGTAAGCCTTGTCCAGACTTCAGTTCTGCTTTTTTTGCAGCATGAGGTGGTTTGGGGTCCCCACTAGGTTCCTCCCTACTAGCACCCACTTTACAAAATCATAGTTGATGTTTCCAGTTAGAGCTGCCTTGCAGGCAAATCACATCTGAATCAGGTTAGGTGGGAAACCTTGTAAAGATGAATTAGCTAAATGATTGCTCTTTTTAAAGTCTCTAATAGAAGTTATTTTAATTTAAGTTTTTTAAAACATGACTGATCGGGATCTTCAGCAGACATAAAACTGTGTACAGGAAAAAAATCTAGTGCATGGGGGAAAAGACCTGATGCATAGAAGAGAGACATTTCTAATGCAGAACAGCAAGGGTTGCACACCTGTTGTGTTGGCATGGGATAAGAAAGCCTTTCAAGAAGCAGTTGCTTCTGTGTCATGTGTTTGTGCGAGAGCAATGTTAAGATTCTGTTCCCGTGCAAAGAGATCGCTAGAAATTATGGCAAAGCTGGCATGGTTTTGGTGCATTATAGCCTCAGTTGAGTGTTTCAGCCAGAGAGTTGGGTTGTCCAATAATGAGTGTGGAATTTGACTTTTTGGCAGCTGTGGAGAAATGTTTCAACTGTAAGACTCTTTTTCCATATCATCATACAAATAAGGTTGGAAGCTTGGGAAAAGGCTACGTGGATTGCGTTTTGAAAACCTAATTGCAGATCTCCAATGGGAAAGATCATGTTTCCTTAAATACATTTGTTTTGATTTATTCCACTGTATCCTGGTTATTTTATAGGTATTGTCCTTGCCCTGCAGGGCTTTTAGCCTAAGGTAGGCTGTGGATTGGCAGAAAAAAGGGGGAGAGAGCATTCAAGTAATAAGACAGTAACTGGACGTATGTAGTAATTTAATGATCATTCCATAATAATTCCCAATAGGTTATGTCGTGGGTGGCTCTGTTGGCATAGAAGGGTATTCTCATTAAAAGTGCAGACCAGCCTCCATATTTGAAACCACTGAAATGCCTTTGCATAGGCCTTTTCTTTTTGTGCTAGGCACCCTTGTGTCTATGCTGGGATCAGATTCCAGTGAATCAATTCAGGTTCTTCAGTTACTCAATTTAAATTCCCATATGCCCTAATAAAGCCCCCAAATGAAGAATTAAAGTAATAATACATCAATTCTGCAGCTCCACCAATAACCTTAACTATCAAAATGACAACGCATCAATCAAGTTGACATACAGCTAGTATCAACCATTAAAGTAACTGTTAAATTAATGTCTACTAAAAAGTGCTGCTTCCATTAGTGAAGGTTTTTTCTGTCTCTCCTTTCTCCAGCCTGCCTGTCTCACTTTTTCTAATCCTGTCTCTCTCACCTCTCACTGTTTGTTTGTTGAGTTTTTTCCTTTCCCTTCCCTCTCTTTTCTGCTTTCTTTCCTCCCTGTTCTTCTCTTTTGTCTCTCTTGGTCCGTAGATGTTGATTGCAGCAGTTCTCTCTTACCTGTTATTATCCTAGATGAATCTTTCTGGCTGCTCTAGCCCGAGACAGGATAATGGCATTTATTGAAGTACAGTCTTGCACCTGTCATAGCTGTTAAATGTCATATCAGTGCAAGAAGGTAAGAGTTTAACCTTTAGACCTGTCTCCATTTCCTGTTTCTAAATGGGGACAAAAATATCTGTTTGCGTCTCAGGCTGACAAGCTTAGATGTACTAATATTTTAAATTAAGCTTTACATCACCTGATAGGAGTCTATATAGGAATTGAACATTTGCATATTCCAGTGTTTTCAATATTGCATGTACATTGTGCTACTCTGAATCCCACAGTCTTTCCATTAAAGTGTCATAGAATATAAACGCTAAGGTGCCATCTGGTAAGTTAAAAAGAAAAGGCAAAGTTTTTTACTTAATTGGATTGCGTAAGAAAATGAGTAATGTAATCTGAACAATATCCACTGGATTTTTTTTTTTTTTTTAATCTTCAATTCAATTTACCTTAGGCTGTGCCAATATTTTCACTTCCCAGTTGCTACAGGCTGTATTATCGACAGCACATAACAATATAATTCAAGTGGTTCGGTCACAAAGATTGGAGAGTTTGCAGCTGGATAAGGGCACATATGGGAAGAAGCGCAGACTATGATCTGAGATTGAGACACATGTATGCTGGCTGTATATTTTTGTTGTTGGAGCAGATATTCCCAATAATCATGGAAGGAACAATCAGACTGCCTGGCATTGAAACCTTGCCAGCATTGGAGCCAAGCGTTATTAAATTTCTGGTTCTTGAAGACGACTGCTTAGAAGTCAGTAAATGGGAATTTCACTAGGGAGAAGTTGTTTTAGTTAGGGTAAATGGTGTTTACACAACAACATTCCTTGGCAGTATTGCTAGCAGAAAGGCTTCCTGAGAACTTGTCAAGATAGCTCTCATTAAGTCTTTTAACAATTTTAAAAATCAGATTTTTGGGGAGAGAAAATATGAGGAAAACTGAGACAGTGTTTTGTTTTAGTAATTTTCCTCAGGAAAGGTGTGGCATCCATCATCCCTACCAAGCACAGAAAGAACACACAAAGTCGTGTTCATGCTGCCGTCGTTATCCCTCTCTTTCTATCTTTCCCAGGGTAACCAAGTCCCAGCCTTAGTTAATGTCCCTGGTTTTGACTCCAAGGCGCACTCTTCCCTCTTATTTGTGCTGTGGCTTCTGGACTGTCTGTCTTTAAGGTATTGACAAATGAAGGTTTTACATCAAAGAAAAGTAGTATTCCCAGAATACTCTATTGCACTGTATGTGCAAATAATTCTTTTGTTGAGATTAAAGTGAGGATAAAGGTTCTTCTTTATGTGCCTTTCGTCTGTGGATTTCAAAGCACTTGGAAACATTTGTGTGCATTAATTATCTCCACTTTACATCTAGTGAAACTGAGTGTACAGGCTGTGGGCAGACGTTTTCCCTTCCGGCTGCGTCCGTGTCATTTGTGGAAGTAGTTACCTCAAACTGCTGCTGAAAGTTACAGTCTCTTCACCAATAAAAAGCGCCAGATGAGGACTGCCAAATTTCTATTGGCTTTGCTAGAAGTTTTAAAAAATCCTTATTCTGTCTAACTTCACTCCTGTCAACAGTGTTGTGGAAGCAGTGGTCTCCAGAAGAGAAATGTTAAAACGGAAGGTGTTTAAACTGATGTCTTTTACCTTGTATTTGGTGTACGTGCAGGACTGTCATAGATGTTTGGCTGCCAGGTGGGATGGGAATGAACTCAGGAGAAAGATGCCAAGTCTCAATGTCTACAAACAGGTCACCAATTTATAGTGCAGAGAACTCAGCAGCAAGTCAGCTAACCAACCACTTGTTTCTATTTTAGAGTGAGCCAAATTATTCTTTGGGTGCTCTCTCTGTTTGTTCTATTGAATAGATCTCCACCAGCTGCAACAGGAGCTTAGACACTTCTGTATAGCGAAGTCTCAGCCTGCAAGCTGAATTTCACCAATTTGTCATGGTGTATCAGCGTGCTTTCCTTCACAAGCCTGAGCCCTTATAGGCAGACTGTTTTATTTGTGGTCACACAGTAAATCTTCAGCAGACTCGGGAAGAAGACCCCTTGACTCCCAGCCCTTTGTCCTGTCCACAAGATAATTCTGCTGCTTCTCACAACATACTTAAGGGAAACAGCAAGTTTATAAATTTAAAATTCCATGCTAACCCTCAGCACACTAAATGTTTGTGCATTTCTGTGGTCAACTTTACCCATAGGGATTGTTTCAAAAACCTGTAGGGATTTCTAAACACGGGCGGATTCCAAGCACATTTTGTTGCTTTAATTTAATTTCTTGGTGAAAAATTGGACAGTGTGATTGAGTTCTATGGAAGTGCGTTCTGGTGTTATAGTGGTTTTAGCAGTGAGATTTCTGTTGCCCACAAATGCAATCCTCGTTTATATAGCCTGTTGGGGTCATTACTTTGTTTGGTAAAGTAGTCCATCAGAAAGGGAGGCCCTCTCCTGCCAGCCGCTGTGCGTGTTAGATTGTCTCCTCTGTTTCTGTTTCCCCCTGAAACAGCTAGTTTCCACAAAGGTGTGGAAATCAGTGTGAATCAGTGTCTGGTTCAGCCCTGCTGTAGTCAGTGGCACCTAGACAATGAACTAATACCACTGGGGAAATGAGTCTTGGCCTCATTTGTAGTCGAGACCCATGAAACTTTTGAGCTGCCAAAGCAGAACAAGGTCTGGCTTGCAGCGCTGGGTCTCTGGGTAGACCTGCTTGCGAGTTACTGTCTATTTGTGGTTAGATAGTCATAACGTTGGCAATATCGAAGCTATCTGCTGTGGAGAACACAGAGAAGGAAGAAGAAATTCTGCACGTGCCAAGGTGTCCTTACTGTGTTTCTTGATTAGATGAAATCAGAAGAGCTTTTACTCAGAGATCTCATTGCAAGTTGAATGTCTGTTGATTTTGAGTTGGTGTGATTGTTCCACAGCGCTTGCTGTCGTTACTGATGGTCAGGCATGCTCCTTCTCTACGCTTTGCCTCCACCAGACTGAGACTGCTGAAATGGCCTTGCAGCAGGTATTGAGGAAGCTGCTGTCCCACTCCGGGCTCTCAACTTTGCTGCTGTTTCCACTGTCCTAAAAGGTGATGGCTTTTGGTGGTGGCTTTTTGATTGGTCTTGTTGTGCAGTCTTGATATACACTTGTTAAACCTTGCTAAAAATATTTAATTTTCAGTTCCATGCTCCGTATCTTTTACACTACAAGTATTTTCCCCTCCTGTCCCTAGCAAATATAAGACTTAGTCCTATGGGATGCTTGGTCCAGTAATGAGTTGTAGTTTTAAGCCCAACTGTATGGTTTCTGCAGCAAGGTATTTTTAAATGAGGCAGGCCTGAGAAAGTGCTAAGAAGTGTAATCGTTGTTGACAGAGAAGAAATGACAGAAAGGGGACACTATGGAACATCTCTTGAGCAGGATGTTTTTTCAGAAATAGCCTGTGTCCTGGGTTTAAGAGGAGCTGTGCGTGGTAGCAAAATGTCTTTTGTGTGGTAAAATGTTTTTTATTTTAAATGAATACTGTTGTACGCTAAATTTTGGAAGTGGATGAGTAAAGGAAACAGGATCATTAAAGCAGCTTTACATTTGGACAGCTTCCCCATTAATATCATTTGCCTACAGAAGAAGTCAGTGATGTACATGGGTATCTTAACCCTTCTTGCATCAGGTGATTTGAAAGGGGGCAGAAGTCTTACCCGGCAGGACAGTCACCACTGCTGTTGAATATTACGAATTACTTCTTGGTGTGTGCTTTAAAAAAAGACTGATCTCTAGAAATGGTGATCTTGCGTGTAACGTGAGTGCTAATTCTTCCTTCAGTGTTCACAGGGCCTACAAGAAACTTCTGCTAACAGCGGGGCCCAGAGCTGTGTAACGTACATGTACGATGGTTAGTTTCCCGAGCACAGAGCTCGGTTGTACCATCCATGTCTAGTTTTTGGGAGTAAAAATTGTGTTTGTCACTCAAGTCCGACTGATCAGCCATCGTGCATTATATCTGAATGTGCTGCAGTTTTTAGAGTTCAGTATTATGTTATCAAAGTTTTTTGGAAAATATTTGGTATTTGCTGTTGTGTCAAGCCAAGTGATTCAGCGTAGTTTGAGCATTCCCTCCCCTGGGTAGATTTTAGGTAAATTCAAATTTCAGTGTGATCCCCTCGGAGGAGAGCTACCTTCATTTTGAACAGGCCTTTGATCTATAGACACTCACATGCCAATAATATCTATGCTCTCTCTAATGTAAATTGAGGCTGAGCTCCAGAGGACAAGTAGAAATTTCCTACTTCCAGGTTTTCTAGGTTGTTTTTGTTTGTTTGTTTGTTTGTTTGTTTTTTTTGTTTGTTTTTTTTTGTTTGTTTTTTTTTTTTGTTTTTTTTTTTTTGTTTTTTTATCCAATGTCATTTTTTGGAGTTTGTTTCCTGCAATACACATGTGCTCCGTAGGCATGTGAGACTGCAGGGAGAGGTTTGGCTGCCCGCTCGAGCTGCTGGCGTGTTTGCTGGAAAGGGTAGAATTACAGCCGCTGCGGTGGAGCTTCTGGAGGGAGGTTTGTGGTGGTGTCAGCCATGCAGTTTCAAATGCATGTGTACTCTGTAATTGTGGAATAAAAATGACAAAGGGAGAGGAGGGCCTGCTAATTACTAATAGTAATGTAAGTTACTGTGTGCGCAGAGATCCTAAAAGGTAATTTTCTATGTATTTTTTTCCTTTGGAATCTTTCTGTCAAACATCTTCACTATAAATATAAACCCAGACTTTTGCTCTGAATCTAAACTATCAGTATCATCTGAAAGCAGTTTTGTTTTCTGGATTCTTTGGAGGTACAGCTGTTGATTAAACCATGGCTTCTGAGCAGAGCTTCTAGCTTCACTGTCTGACAATAATAGGACACGAGCAAAAAACTAGGGGGAAGTATGTTTTAAGTGCTGAAATTTAGAGCCTTACAGTGCTTTTGAAAGTGAGACTTAACATGTTGCTCTCTCTCAATTGTTATTTCCCTGATCTGTAGAAGGCTACAAATATCTCATTCCCCAATGTGTTAATGTGTTTTAAATAAAGCACTGACATGGCTGGCAGCATGTTTCAGCATTTGTCTGATCTCTTCCCTAAATAATGTCTGTCTCAGAAACACTGTGAGGATAAATTATTACGGTAGAGAATATCGTAGGCTGCTAAAAGTGTGGAATTTTACAGTTACATAGGTAAGTAGGTACCTTTATCATGTTCTTAGGAAAAATCTGATAGAGAAATCTGAGGAATTTTTAGTTTGTTTTTCAAATAAATGAGGCCTATGCATCTTTAACTTCCCGTCAAATGTGGTCAAAATATATATAGGAAGCCAAATTTCATTAGTTGTGTTGCTCACAGAATAACTTTGGGGCATTTAGAGTCTGAGCTGAAATTTTTCTTATTTTAAGATTCATGGATACTCTTGCATAAACTTTGAGATCAGCAGTGGTAAATACTTTTAGGATGGCAAAAAGGAACACGGTGTATTGTTCAAGCCTTTCCTTCGTGTTTTGTGAATAGCACTATGTATTTGAATTGCAGAGGATTTAACCAGAATGATTCAGATGATGTTGTCCACTGGTCTCTTCCAATAGCAGCTCTCCTCTGTGAAGAGATGATACTTGGAGTGAGATCTGGCTCATTTCTATTTCCCCTGTAATCCTTTACTTGCTTACTTTTCATGCAGAGTAAGGTCCTATGCCATTTTTTTGCTGGCTCTGAGCTTCCAGATTCATCATTTCTGCTCAAGACAGGTTTTTGGTCTTACTTTGCCCCCAACTACTGAAATTGTTTCTCACTGTTTGATATGAATTCTGACTTCTCCCCAAAGCTGTCTAGATTTTATATTTGATAAACCCAAGTTCCATTAACTGTTTCCTTAATGTAGTCTCCTGCACCTAAAAGCTATTACACCATGTATACTTTGCAGAAGATACTTCAAGCACCTGTATTAGGAAAATAATTAAGTTAATCATCCTCTTAATCTTTCCTAGCCAGATTCTTAAACTGGTCATTGCAGAAGACTGGATGTTTTTATGGATGCTTTGCCTGGTGTCGTGGAGCTACAGCTAAAAGTACTAATTCAGGAATAAAAAGATGCAGTAATTTTTTTTTTCTTCTTTTCTTTTTCAGTGCAATTTTCCAGGGAACCAGGATGGCTAGAAGGCACGCTAAATGGCAAGAGAGGACTTATTCCACAAAATTATGTTCAGTTTTTATAGCTTTGTGCATTGAACGCCAAGAAGGTGTACATGGTATCCATGGATTTTTGTTATAGTCACTTCTCTCTATTTTTGTGACTGCTTTTAATCAACGAGGAGCCTGACTATGGGTTGAAGATCTTAATCTATGTAAAGACATTAAGTATTGCCAGATATTAATTAAAAAAAAAAAAAAAGAGATTCTTTAAGGGTTGGAATGGGTGGGGGGGACAAGAAAGGGGGATGGAGGGATAGGTTGATTTTTTTAATAGGGTACTTTTTTCAGTTGTAAAGAGCAGTAGTGGTAAGCTTGTTTGCAAGATAACTAGCATTTTAAGTCAAATATTTGGTTGATCTGTGAAGATCAGTTCGGAAATAGGAGTTGAAAAAAATTTTTATAAACTTAGTGTCCTGGAGATTACGCATCAATAGCCAGCATTTTTAACAGCATATTATTTGGGTTTGGAAAATACTGTTGGATAAAATAAGCTATCATGCTGATAATTAAATTATATTTCAAAGTGGAATAGACAGTACGGAACAGACACAAGTAAGTAAAATAATAGGTATCAAGACATGACATTTTTCAAATGTCTTCAAAGAACACATTCATTTCTGTTGTGTGTATGATTTCATTTATTTTATAAAGATAAGACACATGAACTTTCATTACAGGCTCCTATATGTCATGGTTCCTTTGCTACTCAAAAATATCACTGTAAATGAAATAAAATGTTATTTGCTATTTGACCTAAGTCATTCCTATCTCGGAGAATATTTTGCTCTGGTTCTGTAAGTTATGATGTGAAATAATTATTGGCAGCTGTATGCAGTCAGCCTCAAACAGGCTCCAAAATGGACGGGGAACTTTCCTTGCTTAAAATAGGCAAGTCTGCAAGCTCAAGCCAAAAGGAAAAGAGAATCTCTGGCTATGATCCTTGTGCATCCTGGAGGCACCTTGCATTTTATCTGTTGTCTGTCTGTCTAGCTCCTCCTTGAGCTTCCCTCTCTTCCTCCTCTGTAATTGTAAATTCTAAGGTCTTAATGATACTTCACAGTATCAGAATCCTCAAGTAGCTGCCTCATAGTTTGTAGAACTATTTGAGTAGCAACAGAGTTATCTGTGGTCATAGAATAAGTTTCCAGAAATCCTGTGCTGTATAAATCTGTGCCTTGTGATTTTTTAAAAAAAAAAAAAAAAAAAAAAAAAAAAGTTAAGTGAGAAAGTTAAGTGTAGTTTATCATTCATCTTTGTATTTTTATCTCCTTCAAGTACGACCCTCTGGGAGGCAGTGGAGAGGATGCAGGAAAATATGACGAGATGACATGCTAATACAGGCTCACTTGTTTGTTAAATTGGACTCCATGGATTTTGAGTAATTTACTGCAGATATACTTAGCTTGCAAGTTTTTCTAATGTGATTAGTAAACCAGTTAATGGTTAATGCTGCTTTAAGGTTGGGATGGCTTTTCCTCCCCCTTAAGATTTAACTCTATACCATTATTTTGTTCCTCTGCCCAGACTGCAAAGACCATTGGAGTATGCACAAACCATTTCCAGATGGAGCAACAGTGGGCCAAGTCAGTACAGCTCTCCAGCCTTAAACCTCATAGCTTGGAGGAGTTTCATTTGGTGTATTCTCATGGTGTTTCAGCAGCGACTGCCTGCCATACAGCTTTTAGGCAATCCTTCTCTTGGCAGTGACCCAAGCACCGAAGGTGACTTTTGGACTTCTGTGAAGAAGATCGAGTTCTTTAATTTGCTCCTTGGCTCAGTAGGAGGGAGGTAGTTGCACCGGTACCTGGCTGGGTACCGTGTCGCATGGGCCCACAGCTCTGTCAACTCCTTTGTGGCCTTAAAGGGTCATTCCAGCGGCAGGATGGTGTTTGTGTGGCCAGACTCAGTTTTTGTGGCTGCCAGTTGGTGGAAAATGTTGAAAGATGAGAGGGAATGTAAATCTTGGGTATTAGCCTAGCAGGCGTGGCAGCTAGGTATGCCGGCCTGCCAGATAGCGAAGCTGTGATAACTTGAAGCTTATGAGCTTTACAAGTTGCTTCCATTTGTTTTCCTGTTGCTTTAAACGTGAAGTGTGTGTTTGATCTTGTCCTGGCTGCTGTTTTCCAAAATTCTCAATGTATTTCTCAGTTCTAGTTCTGTGATGTGGTTTGGATTGTTGTTCTTTGTTTGTTTGTTTGTTTTTTTTCCCCCTTCCTTTTAACTGAGGTGGTTTAAAAAGGCAGATCTATAGAGAGGAAAAAAAGACTTGGTGTCTATTCCATCCAGTCCTGTGACCCTATTTGTCTTTAGGTGAGATGTTGTGAGACTCCTGTTACTTCTGGAGCCACAAAGAACCCAAACCAGAAGAAAACTTCTCTACACTGAGCAGAGGTAATACTAATCCAAACTTTCTCATGTCCTGGATGTTGTCTAAAGGCAGTGGTGTGAGCCGAGCCAGATCAGATCTGGCTTTCAGGCTAACCACATTGCCTCTTAGGAATTTAGTTGTGGTAACTGCTGCCCACCATCTGAGTTTCCACATCAGCCTGGTCATACTAATGCTGAGTACAGACGTGCACAGCCGAGTAGCCGTGGCACATCTCGTTCTTCATCCTCACTGCTGAGAAGTGCTGTGAATGATGCCCTGGTACTGTCTCTTTGGAAGCAGAGATTAGAGGATGCTAAAAATTAAGAAGTGTATAAAGTCAGGCCCCATTCCCATCCTTTGAGATTGTTTTCTTTCCTGAAGCTGGGCCTTAGGGCATTTCTCTTGTCTGTTTTTTCTATGCCTTGGTAGATTTGGGAAGAGCAGAGTAATGCGCCGAAAACTTGAGGCGGGAAGGAGGACAGGGAAGTGGTTGTGGAGAAAGCCAGGTGAAGGGCTCTTCTCTTTTGGCCTGGCAGCAGCAGTGGTCGTTCCCCATGGGCCTGACTCTGTCCCCTCCTGGGAACTGCTCGCGGGTACAGGCTGTCACAGCTGTGGGTACAGGCTCAGGTTTGGTTCCCCCTCCCTTGCTCGGTGCTGGTTGCTGCGTGCAGGGGCACGTACTTGTCCATTTTCAAAAGCTGAGGCTCCTGGTAGTGAATGTGTGACACAGGCTGAAAATTAGAGAGGGTGAGTTAGGAAAAAAAAAACAAACCAGTTCTGTGCTTTTTATGCAAGATGTTTGCCTTGCCATGACTGTGAAACCAGAGACTGAATCCCTCAGCCTGGGGATTAATGTTGTGTATGTGTTTGCTGAGAAATCTGCTGAGACTCCTGACTAGCTGGGATCCGTGGGAAGTTACAGTCCGTGTTAGTCACTGGACAGTGTGCAGCTCTGTGTCTTGGCCAGGCAGCATTTTCACTCTGCTGGGTGAAAAACCCCCAGGGTCTTCCAGCTGCTGAATGTTCTTAATCATTGTCTCAGCTGGTCTTGATGGCAGGTTTCCTTCTGATGCCCAGGACTGAAAGAAAAATCTCATTGGCTGATTTATCCTCCCTGTAATGAAAGTAAGTGTTCCTGCTACATTGCTTACAGCTTTTGCTAGCTGAGCCTCTGCAATTGTATCACAGAAAAGACTCGGGGAGAAACTTGCCTTTCCAAATGCTCTGTTCCTTGTTCTCTTAACCCATTTCACAATTCTTACCTGGTTTGCAAGTTAAAGGAAAAAGCTGCTGACTGAGTGCTTATGTAGGCTGTAAATGCACCAGTGCTAACACGGTTTAACTCAAAGTCTTCGCTGGAGTTGGACCTTTTAAGCTGAATTGTGCCTCGACGTCATTTTCTACATCAGAGTTCAACAGTGTGCTCTCATCTGGGCTTGACGTAACCACAGGTAAGCACCCAAATGAACTCCATCCTATCAGCATCTACAATGAAAGTGTTCTTTTAAAATCTTTACGGCAGAGCATGTTTTTACCTAGCAAAATCTTGGAAATGAAAGGGCATTTTTTCATTCCTTTCTAGCTTAGTAATTCTGTACTTAATAAACTCCCAGTCTCTGTAGATACCTGAAAGCAAGCAGTGTCCCAGCTTGAGGTCAGATTATGAGTTTCGTTGTTTTTATGTAGTGATAGCATTTTCTTATTTCTAGAACAGCATATGACAGATACATCTGCTTGTAAACATATGGGAAATTTTTCTTAACACTGCTGATCCTCTACTATTCTTTCCTTCTGACAATTCAGCAAACAGAAGGCAGGTGCAAGGATTTTTAGCAATAAAAAGTTTGTGTAACTTGTTATTAAAAAAACAGCATGCAATTAAATGGTGGTCTTACACCACAGAGCTAGCTTTGTGCAGAACTTAGCGGTGAATTTTTGAGGAGGTGCACAGAACAAACCAGGAGAGCAAGAGTTTGATTTCCCCTTCCAAACATCTTACTAACTGGAAAAGACCTGACTGGGGAAAACCTTGTGTATATGGGACAGGGAATCCCTGTTTCCATGAGAGAAGTCCTAACTTTGGTCAGGGGGTAGAGCAGCTCTAGGTTAGCTGAAACTGGAAGCCAGACTTGCCTGGCTCTTGAAGGTTGCTGGGTTTGTTTCTTGGAGTGGGATGTAGCTTGTGCGTGTAACAGTGGCAGCACAGCACTGGGCAAGCAGAGTTATCCAGGTTAAGTGAACCCAATTCCTCACGGTTGGGCATTCCTTATTCTATCATGTGAGCTGCTGCTCTCTGGCTGAAGCCATCTTATGTGCTGCATCATCCAAATTAACAGAGCTCGAGGGAACCGAATTTCTAGATGCACAGAGAGAGATGTTATATTACATTGTTAGTTACTTTATGTTACTTAATATTGTTTCTAGATGAGCAGAAGCTTGGCTCTAAAGGTATCACTGTACCAGCACCTATCTGAGATTAAAATGCAAGAAATACTTGCAATCAAACCAGTTTAATTCATGTATATTTGTACAATTGGTATAAAAAAAAAAAAAAGAAAAAAGAAAAATAGGTACTTGCAGACATTAACATAAAGACCAAACAATATTTTCTATTTATTTAAAAAGCTTTAAACATACAGAAGCAAACCCCTAATTATAAATGCATCATTATGCATAGATTTTACTGTTTACACCATACTGCTGGCTGCTTTTATTTTTCATCCAGGAATCTATTTAAACTCCAAGAATTCTTAAACATTCCTCTGAGCTTCCTGGCCTCAGAACTGCTGTCTATCTTATCAAGTCATTGACCTCCAGCTGAAAACATTGCTCTAAAAAAAGAAAAAAGTCAAATCTTTAATAAACAATTAAAAGTGCATTAACTGTAGAATTGTTTAATTTCATAAATGTTTAAACAAGTCAGTGAAAAACACGACCCTGTGAATTAGCTTTTTGCATTATTGATTGTAAAGTATCTTTTTAATAAGATTTTGATATTGCAAACTTTAGTCTTTTCTATTTTATTTTGCACAACTGTTCAGTCGCGCGATGTGTAGTATTCCTGAAATACCCACTGCAGTACATTAACACTATTTTACATTTTTCACTGTGTATACAATGCTCTTGCTGTATATCCCCGTTCCTTCTTACAACAAAATAATTTAGCTCAATGAACAGAAGCCCACTTCTAAAAGGTGTTTTAGTTTGTCTTGTATTTTGCAGGAGACAAATGCCTATTTCATTCTAAACAAATTCAAAAGAACGTAACTTCCTGGTAGCTAAAAACTAGGGTGGTGGTTGTTTTGTTGTGTTTTTTCTTTTTTTTTTTTTTTTTTTATTTTTTTTTATTTTCCTCTGTACACAGGTTTAGATAAAAAAAGTGATGGCTATTCTGCTTAAGTGTCCTTGATAAGAGAATACTGCCTCTTACAACATCTATATCCAATTATATCTATGACTTCAATGATCTCTAGCAAAAAATAATAATCAATGAATGGTTTCATAAACAACAGGTGATTAAAGTAAAGGATTTATTATAATCTGCTTACAGTTGTTTGCAAAGACAGACATACGTTTTTGCATAAAGATATAAATTGCTTTTTAAAACTAATTTAGTGTGTTTAATTATATGAAGTTTCTGTGAATTATGAATTGTACCAAACCAAGATTAAAAGTAATAAGGTACAAAAATAGGAGCAAACAGACAACAATTTGGACTGGGACAGGCATTTAACAGTGAAGTGTAGAATATGGCTTTGCTGTTTTAATCAAGCAAAGTTACTCTGAGACAGAAAAGGAGGCAGTAACTTTGTTAATATAAAAAGCTGCTGCAGACTGTATTCACCCAGAACCTGGCTTTGAAATTTTCTATTTTAGACTTTTTTTTTTTTTAAAAAAAAAAAAAAAAGGTAAATGAAAAAAGATGGATGTATGACTGTGTCTTTACTGTAAACAACCAGTCTGCATGCTGTGTATCTCACGATGGAAGTTTGGCTTTCATATTGCTGTGCAGGTCAGTATTTAAAGATCTGCCTATGAATTAGACTTCCAAAATGCAAATAATATATGTATGTATATATTTATATATAAAAAACCTCTCTGAATACAGTCTTTACAGATTACCCATTGCATAAGGCAGGTGTCATTTAAAAAGACAAGCAGCACTGACTGTCTTCAGTGCACCAAACCGCACCTCAAAATTTGGACTCGGAAAGGGTGTAGAATTCTAAATTCGACCACCATTTAAAAGAAATGCTACATTCTGACCAGCCAAGGGACAAACTAGAGCTCAAAAACACCAGTGGCACCCAGAGAGAACACTAGAGATTAGGACTCTGAAAAACTATTCTAGTTAAACATGAGCATATGGTAGCAACAGTTGAGCCTCAGAAAAGTTCACCTGTCCTCTCTATTCTACTCCAAAATTTTGTATTTGCTTATAAATTGTGAAATAGTGAAAATCACCTCAAAAATTTTCCTTTGCAGTCTTATTCTAGAGAAAACATTTTTGAGACAAAATCAGACCAACTGAGTTGAACTTGTAGTGTGAACATTTGTCTTCTCAGATGTATTCTGATTATTAAAAAAAATGCTTACAAAATTACACAGAGTTTTAGTTTATCACTAAAAATTCTACTCAGCGAATCAGCCCGTATCAGTACCTTACCATCCCTCTCACCAGTACAAATCTGTTTCAACATACTTACTGTAATGATCTGCATGTTCCCTTCGTAATAATCAGAAATCGCTCTCCCCCATCTGAAATAAGAATCTGACCTTTTAAGATGTTTTATGTATCCAGTATTCAAAGGAAAAACAAACAATCTGGGAAACCTTAATAAAAAAAAGAAAAATCATTCAACATCTTACTTACCCCTGTTCCCCTGAGAGAGAAAGGGAAGAGAGGGCAAGAATCACTATATCATTAAGCTGGCAAAAGCTTTGGAGAGACCGTGATTTGTCTTGTTAAATGAAACCTTCGTAAAGTGGCAAACACAACAGAGTGTAGTTTCCTACAGAAATATGAAGCAGGATTTCTATGATGTGCTCAAGTCACATACGCTTGCAAGCGAGACAAAGGGAGAAAAATGTAGAGGAAAATAGAAAGGCTTAAATACAAATGAAAAGGTTAAGTGTGGTTATTTACAATCGGTACTGTAGGATGGTAAATTAGATATGATGCTAAAAAAGGCACAGCTTTCCCTTTCTTAAATACACTGTAAACGGTTCATTATGCATGCAGAACATTTCACTTTACAAAAAAATTACCTTGTTTGTTTAGACAAAGATAGTACTTAAATAGTCTCCAGCAAAATAGAGTTCTTTCAAAAATACTTTCCCATTCATCCTATTAACCATTAAAGATTTTTTTTGTCTCATTTACAAAAGTTCCTTACACCTTATTTCAGGTCCTTCACAATTTATACATACAGCAATGTACAGTACAGCAAAAGACTGCAAAAAATTATTTGTAAAGCCAGCACAATAGATACTATAAATTGATACCAGGGCATTTGTTTTCACATCTTATCCTTTTTAATTAAATAGTAAATGGACACTTAACACAGTGTATATCCTCTATGATGGGATAACATGGGATAACAAATGCCACAGGTGGGGATAACAGAGTATTCCACACCAAATGTTCTGTTATTACTTTACACGTTAGGGTTTGTGTGTGTGTGTGTATATATGTGTGTAGATATATAGCTTTTGTTTGTTTTTTTTTTTTTTTTTTTTTTTTACAAGAAAAGAATATTAATGCCCCATATTGACTTTACGTTTTATGTGCAAACCAAGGGTAAGCTTTAAAAAGTTCTCATTAGTTCTCGAACCCTTTTAAAACAAGCAAACAATACCAGAAACTACATGGCATATTTAAAACTCCATCTGTTAAAATATCAAAATCAAAGAGTTATTGACTAGATATGGCTTTTCATCCAGAGGAACAGGAACATTTTCTAAGTGTTTTAGGGTTATGGGGTAAATTTCCAAACATCTAGGTCTTGCCAAATCCAAGTCAACTGCTTTCCATTCCCCAAACCCTTCATGTGATTTTTAGACTATTCAGAGACTGCTGAACAAGTGTAAATAGCATGTTTAAAATATGGTTTCTTGGGTCCTTCATGGGTGTGGAATAACACAGGGAAACTTAAGGCAAAGTTCTTCCATTTAAGACATTTTCTATCACTTCCTGTGAAAGTACAGGGGCTTGGCATTCCCGGATTCCACCTTTGGTAGCTGGTCACTGATGATTTCCACCAGCATGGCTGGAAACTCTACTTTCAGTGCCTGAGACTCTCGGAAGGTGTAGAAACAGAATTCCAATAAGTCACTAACAAGCTGAAATAGAGAAAGAAACACTTTTTAGGAAAAACACAGAGAATTTCACTTGTAAACAACACCTTATTGATAATAGATTATTCCTAAGAAATGGCATCTTACTCTGACTTGACAGTCCAGCTGCAAGGGCTGTTAAAAAGCAAACCAAAAACTCAAAACCCAAAGTGCTCCTTACCTCATTAAAAATACAGGTGAAACTAGGAATAACTAGGAAAAGCCAAGATACCACAGATCTGATTTTCCAGCATAACTGTGCTTTTCATTTCACTAACAAGCAACTGGCCATCATGAAAACTATAGGTACTCAATGTCTATGAAAAGAAAGACTTCTGCCCAGAGGGAAAAGATCATCCGTTAACTGTTGTATCTCTAAATTTCACCTGGATCCATGTTGGTTAAATCAGATTATTTGGTTAACTTCAGTGCAGTCTCCAGGGCCCACAGCCTACAACTGCCAGAGTAGCTGATGTTTTCAGCTCAGCAACATGAATGCTGGGTCTCACACTGTAGCATTTCAGGTTTTACAGCATCACAGTCCATATGAAATCGTTCATCTGGTAAAGCACCTCTATTTGTACATAAATGCATTTTTTAATACACACAGCCCAAGCGCTTTTTCTGCTTACTACTCATTAGAGAAGCAATATTTATGGAAGTATTTCTTTTGAAAACAAAGTTCTCTATTTTTGTAGTGGTGGCTAACAATACACTTTTGATTTCTCTCATTAAGCATAATGCTTCTTGTGATCTAAATGAATCTCCTAAAGCCTTACAGGACGTTGGACCCTTTGCAATCTACGAAAACAACCCAAGGCAGTCAGGAGGCAGGTCTAGGTTTCAGTTAGCGTATTAATTTCCATTGCAGTTCCCCAAATTACTGCATTGTACAACTGAAGAAAAACTAGAGCCGTTACTGTTGAAAAATTCTGAAGTTATGCACGGCCTAATTTTGGCGCCTTATGTCCTTGCAAAGGACTTAAACCACTTCTGCTTATCAAACGCAGGTTTGTTGTTTCAATTCTTAACATGTGGAGTTGCACTCTGCAGTAAAGGTAAATAAAAGTAGACTTCTGGAAGGCAGAAAAAGAAATACAGGAAAAAAATACAGGCAGCAACAGACTGCTGTCCCGTAGAACCATACCTTATTACTTATTTTTCAGGACTTTCACAGCTGTTTTTGCAAACATATAAGCAATTTATGAACGCCACAGAGAAGTGCTGAGATCACTTGAACACATGACTTTCTGCTACTGAGCACGACACGCGTCTCTGTGCTGTTGCTTTAGTTCATTCCTGATGATCTGGCATGTCATGAAGCAGTGCTAATTAATTAAGCAGATGCATGCTAAGTAAGTAGCAGAGACATAATTTGGTTTTCAAGGGAAGAAAAACCGCTGATGTTCAAAGGTTTACTTTACCCATTAGGAAGAGGTTGTTTCTGCATATACCGTGTGCCAAAAATATTCTAAACATAACACAAAGGAAACTGGGTGCAGTTGCCAGTGCCTCCCCCCTGCCTGTGTGTCAGCAAATACCAAGCACCTAAGCAAGCTGGGCCCTGCACCCCACCACCACCTTGATAAGGACCTGATGAAGGTCCTGCTGTTCCTACACTTGAACACAAGTAGTTGCATATCACTGAACATAAGCAAGGGGCTTGGGGTCATCCGCGTCACGCTGCCTCCCCACCCTTGGGGGGCTGATGGCTCCCTCTGCAACCCATCCCTCCCTCATCACGCTCGTGTGAAGCCTCCAAATGCAGAGAGATTGGTATCACAGAAAAGCCTATGTGAAAACTATTAATTCTGCCGCCTTAGCAAGCTTTTAGGAGTATCTGGAAACTATTAATTCGGCCTTCTTAGCAAGCTTTTAGGAGTATCAAGTAATTCTAATATCGATAGTAGTATCAAGTCTGGTGACTACGTGGACAAAAGGGGAAACAAAAAATAACAACGTTCATGAAGAGAGCGTAATCCATACAAAAAATGAGTTAGCAGTCCAGTGGGGGAAAACCAGGATGTGATCGTGGATACTACCTAACATAGCACACGATGGGCCTCACCCCAGAGGAGAAAGTTTAAGTTTACACAACAATTTAAAATAAAATACCTAGAACCCCCTTATCACGTACTGTTGGGTTTGGAGCCTTAAGGATAATATATATTCTATACCTATTTAGTCTTTCTTAAGCAAAGTTACCAACTTTAGCATACCTGACAGTCATCAACCACTGTGAGAAAAGGGGAGCGTTAGGAAGCGCACGGCTCGTGTCCCAAGGAACATGGAACTGCAACGCTACAAGCGGCGGAGCTTTTGGGGCTTCTAGCGCTAATTTAAAAAAGGAATGAGTGCGGGAGGATCGAAGGCCAGCTCAGAGGTACTGCAATGGAAACGATATGATAAGGTCAGCTGGAGAAGGCTGCAAGACCGAGAACCAAGCCACGAGCAATGCTCTTTCCTGCAGGCATGGCCTCGTACGCTTTCAGAGGCACCACCCCCCCCCGGCCAGCCCAGCAGCCTCGGCATGAAGTCGCATTGATGAACATTTCAGGTTCCACAGGCAATTTTGAAATCTGAGTACCTGCCCTGCATTCCAGCCAACGTTTCTCTGATAGAGTTTTGATTTGTAACAGGTAAATAATTTAGCTAGTCTACTGCTTTAAAAGAGAAGCTCCCTCTGCAGCAAGGACACTGAAGCCTGCTTGCTTTTGGAACACTCAAGCTCTGTCACTGCAGTGACGGTGGCCAATACACCACAGGTTACGAGTGAGGTAACACAAACTATCCAGCACCTCTAAATCTGGCTTACGAACTTTCTACATCACTTATAACTCTGATTGTTCTTGAAAGGCTTGTAAAATCCCTGTGCTCTAAGAACTCCTCACTGCCTTTCACCTGACCGCTTTTACCCTCTACTTCTGTCAGTTTATACTGGAAATGCTGACACCTCCTCCAGTCCAGCCGCATGAAACGCAACTCTAATTAAGCAGTGTGAAGGAAAGCACCACTATTTTCACGAGCACTGCAACAGCAACTGGAAATGTATTTACTTTTAAAATCTCCAATTCTTTCAGCTACCGAAGCGCGCTTCTGAAGAGCTACCGCTTTGAGCACAGATGGTACAGCTAAGGCAACAGTTAAAATAATTCGCATTTCCTCGGGATGCAATTGGGGTCGTTCTCACCACTTCTGTAGGTATTTGTTCGACTCTCTCTGGCGCTGGCAGGAAAACGGGGCTGGGCACCTCCGACGGCACTGCCAGCCTCCCCCTGCCCGAGGGGGACTGGACGGGAGCTTGGGTTATCACCGGCTGGCAGTGCCGGGCTTCACCCTGCTGGGTCCCGGGCAGCTCCCAGAACGGAGACTGGGGCCTCTCCGGGAGGGCAGATCCCACTGAAGACATTAATACGAGCCGGGTTTGCAGGGGTGCAGACACACAGGTCAGAATTATCGCGTCCATGTCACCCAGACTGCTGCAAGATGTGACAGCCCTTCTGCCTGCAAGTGGATTAGCTGTTGGCTATAACCCTTCAACCACTTCAGTCATTAATTATAAAGCTTCCTCTCATCTCTACCCTACAGAGAGTGTGCTGCGTTTCAACATTTTCAAGGCTACAGCAGTCTTGGTAACTCTGAGATTTTTTTTTTTTTACTTAATCTTCGCATGTGTGCTGTATTAAGCACCTCTGAAAAGTAGGAGTATTAATCAAACATCATTTTCTGTTATTAGGGTGGGGTTTCCATCAAATAGACTTTTTCACCCATACTGTTCTTCATAATTAAAAAAATGAACCCTTTAATGAAGTCCCTGAAGTTAATACAGTGACCTTCCAGCATTGGCGGAATTTTTACAGGAAAAAAAAAAAAAATTCAGCTTGGCAGTCTCACCATGCCCTTGTATTTCCAGAAGGTCTAAGAACTGCCTGATTTGCAAGGGTGCACGTTTCTGTGCTCCGTTTTCCGACTTCAAAATCTCTCGCGCTCTCCGCGTGTGGCATGAAAGCCCACAGTCACTTCTCTCTCAGGAGCATCTTTGCGATTAAGCCTACCGATACAGCAATTAAGACAGCAGTAGGGTAACAACACAGTGCTGAGTGCTTTCGTCCTATTATTAGCTACAGCTATTACTGTCAGAAACCTCAGTGTTCTCATAGAAAAAAACGACACTCCAAACAACTTTGTCCCTTGCAGGGATGGGTCTCTGCCCGCTTCCTGCGGAGCGGGGATGTGTTGGGAGAAGGGAACCCCATGGCTCTACCCGGCTGCGCCAAGCCAGAGCTCCCTGAAAGGCCAAGCTGCTGCCCACCGGCTCAGCAGCGGTGCTTTGCCTCTTGCTTTTAAAACCTGCCTGTTTCAAACTACGCAAGAGGCAGGAGCCTGCTGCCCTGGCTAAGGTAAG